TTGTGTAAGCGGAATGGGATAAGAGGGGCTCCTGAGATCTTTACTTGTGTTCGTACGTCGCTATACATGGCTTTAATTAATGTGATAGCTTGCGTGGGGAATCCCACATGGGACAAAAAAGTGTGAATAGGTACGTCCATGAGACCCTATCAAACGCTTTTTCAGCGTCTAATGAAACCAACATAGTCGGGAGGGGGGTGTAACTTTTTGTTTCCAAATGAGATCTATGTTCCTACGGGTGTTCTCAAACAACTGTCTGTTCTGCACGAACCCCACTTGATCTGCATCCACCAGTGAAGCCAAGTAAGGGTTCAATCTTGTCGCCTGAATTTTTGCTAGTATTTTCATGTCATGATTAATCAGGGATATAAGTCTGTAGCTAGTCGGGACGCTCGGGTCTTTATCTGATTTTGGCAGTAAGACAATAGTTGCTAGCGACATATCCGCGTGTGGGGTGCCTCCTGATCTAAATTCATTAAACAGGGCTGCCAGGTGTGGAGCAAGTTCATCCCGAAATTCCTTGTAGTAGCTCCCGTCAAACCCGTCTGGGCCAGAGGCTTTGTTCCCTTTCAAGGCAGCTATGGCTTGTGTCACCTCCTCTGTTGTGATTTCTGCCACTAATGCTTCCCCCCCTTCCTGAGCTAGTTTGGACATCCCTAGGTCTACCAGGAATTGCTGCACCAATGCTTCGTCTCCCGCCGCCTGCGTCTCAGGACCCTGGAGAATGGTTATATAGGGATTTGTAGTGATCCGTGAAGACCTCCGCTATGTCGTGGGGGCTGGTTTTAATTGAGCCATCATTGTGCCTAATGAATGTGATGTGTCCCCCTCTGTATCTAGGTTTCAGTACTCTAGCCAAGAGTGTATCCATTTTGTTCGCATGTTCATAAAAGGTTTGTCTGGACCACAAGATAGATTTTGCAGTGTCGTCCAGGAGCAGCTGGCGTATTGCCAGTTGTATCTCCCCTAGTCTTCCTGTAGTGATGTCGTCTGGGTTGCTCTGGTGTTGTTGTTCTGCCCTCTTAAGGTCGGTCAGTAGGCCTTCTAATTTCAGAAATTTTTATTTCTTTCTGGCTGTCGCTAGTTTTATGAGTGTGCCCCTAATTACTGTCTTGTGAGCTGCCCATACTGTGGCTAATGTCAAGTCTGGGGTGGTGTTGGTCTTGAAAAAGCTGTTTATGTCCGCTCTAATTTGGGATGCTATGTTCTGATCTTTTAATAAGGAGGCGTTAAGTCTCCATGTCCAAGGGGTCGCTTCGCAAAGCTTCCCCAGTGTCAGCGATATATCAGCGTGATCCGACCAGGTGATTGATCCAATGTCTATGCAAGTTATTCGCGGTAGGCTGTTCACTAGAAACATGTCTATTCTGGAATAGGACCTATGTGGGGCCGAATAGAAAGAGTAATCCCTCGCTGTCGGATGATGTGCTCTCCAGACGTCCACCAACCCCGAATCCGCCATAAATCTCTGGAGCAATTTGTCTTAACTCCCCCTCTTTGTGTACCGCTGCCTGCCCTCCTGTCTGTTGCCAGGTTCGGCGTCGCGTTCAAGTCTCCCCCTATGATAATCATCCCATGGTATAGGGTTTGGAGTTTGTCCTGTAGTGACTCCCAAAAGACTGCCTCTGGGTGATTTGGTGCATATACATTAATTAGGTGTATGGGATGGGAGAGCAGAGTGCCCGAGACTATAACATATCGGCCCTCCGGGTTTGATTCAGTGGACGTGACTCTAAAAAGGCAGCTATTGCGTATGAATATTGCTACTCCGTTGCGTTTGCATAATGTCCTAGCTTCATGTGTCGAACTATATGTATGGTCCCTCAATTTGAATTTGGCCTGTTTCGGTATGTGCGTCTCTTGTATAAATGCGATATCGGATCTCATCCGTTTAAGCTCTCTGAATAATAATCGCCGTTTTGTAGGGGAATTCAGTCCCCTCACGTTCAGTGACGTAATTTTAACTGCCATAGGTCCATTCCATTCGGTCTGCTACAGCCCGCGTCCACCTCTGCTCGTTGCGCGTTCCACCCCACTGTGCCCTGCCGCTTCCCCCCCAGGAGGGTATAGGAAAAGAGAAGAGGGAGTATAGTAAAGAAGAAGATGGAAATAGAAAGGAAATGAAAAGAGGTGGTGCACCTCCTGTGCTCCACCAACATTGTCTGGTCTTACTTTCCGCCAGACTTTTGTGGGGGTCAAGACCCCGCATCTCAGCCACGTCCAGCATTCGGAAGAGATGTAGGTTTGTGAGCCCTCTCACCACTGCGCGCTATTGCGCTTTCGTTAGTGGCTACTGATAACGTGCAAAGATAGCTTAACACAAATTACATTGAGATACAATAACATAACATAACATGCGGTAAGATGATATAACATAAAGTAAGTTTCCCCCGGAAATATGCCTATACATATCGTCTCCTTAGGCGTCAGGTAATATGTTCAAACATCCCGTAGGTGGTCTACAGTGAAACTATAGTGACTCAAACGGATAACATTATGGCCCCATAGCTCCCTAGTATATGATCTCACACTTTAGGGGATCCGAGCCTAATGAATGCGTCTGCCCGACCTCTCCCTTATCTGCCCTGCGACTACCATGTACCCCCTTCCTTCCTTCCTTCCAGGGGACCCAAATGACGTATATACCTCAGGGGAGACCCCAGCAACCCACGGCCCAATGATGCCCGCCCCCGGATGCCTAACAGGGTTTCCCGTCCGAGGGACGGTTAAGTGGAGTAGTGTGGGAGTTTCTTTAATGCTGGGTCGACCTCCGCAGCTGTATACTCTCCCTCTGGCCGCCCCGCCCCTATGTCCCCCGCCTGTCTGTTCCATGCCAGTATGTTATCTCAACATGTGTAGAAGTAACCTAGTGTACTCATTTATGTGGTGATTTATGTGGTTATCTGGGGTCCCTGTGTGCTTTAGCTATTATTTTGCTTATTATTATTTATTTTTTTTCATTTTTGTGAGTTGTAGGTTTTCCCCTTGTTTTGTGTCCTGATTTCCTTTGTCTCCCTTGTTATAGATTTTAGTCTGCCCTTGTTTGTTGTAACCCCTGTCTCCTCATCTATTGTGGGACCTATTAGTTGAGTTTATTTTGTTTTAAAATACCCCTACACAGCTATATCTTAGAAAATGTTTGCCTCAGAGTCCATGAACAAGCGGCGAAGCGGCCTAAAATTCGAGCTGGCTGCCAGTTGCTATATGTGTCAGTGTAGCTGAAGGTAAGACCCTACCCGAGCCGAGCACTTTCCTGAGCCGGGTGGTGGGGTCCCCCATATCCAGAATCGCTAGGTTGGAGTTGCAACAGGCCATCTGTAAAATGCCGACCCATTCCCCACAAACAGCGTCTGGCCGGACCTGTGGTACCCGGGCCCAGGCCCCTGTGTTGCTGTCCGTGCGTTAATATTGGGCCTCCCCAGACCCCCCGCCCAAAAAAACTGTAAGGTAATCTCTCCCCTCGGCACTGGCAATATATGTAGAGGATACCCGGCTCTGTCAGGCTTAACTCCCTCCCCAAAGTGTCCCGGCTTCCCCCTTGAAAGGCCCCGATTGTACCTAGGGTGTCCCCTGTGGGTAGTTACTGTACCCGATTCCGGAGTCAGCGTCGGCGTGCTCCCACCTCTTCCCACTCGGTCGGGAGGTGCTCTAGCTTATGGGTCGACGGCCTTGTCGCAGGTAAGCTACCTCGAGTCGAGATTCCTAGGGCATCCAAGAAGGCCCGAGGTTCTCCGTTGGGTGTCAGAATGTGGGTTTTCCCCCCGTGGAATGCCATCAGCCGGAACGGGAACCCCCATGCGTATTGTATGTTTGCACCTCGTAGTGCTTCCGTGACAGGCCTCCATTCCCGCCGTCTCTGCAGCGTGATTGGGGCCAGGTCCTGGTAAATTTGGAGTTCCGTCCCCTCATGTTCAATCTTAGCTTCCCTGCTTTTGTGCATCAGGGCTTCTTTGGTTTGGTAGTATAAGAAGCGGACGATGACGTCCCTGGTAGAGTTGGTTTCGGTTCTTCTGGCTCATAGGGCCCTGTGTGCCCTTTCCATGTGCCATCGTTCTCCGGGGAGGTCTGGCAGTAGAGGTTGGAATATAGCCTGCAGCATGGCTGGGAGTGTGCCCTCCCTCTCCCCCTCCGGCAGGCCGCGTATGCGGAGGTTGTTCCACCGCGACCTGTTGGCCATGTCTTCGATGGCGAGTTCGGCCTCCGTCAAAGTGGTCCGCCAGCCCGTTGATATGGGTTATTGCAATGGGCCTTGGTTGTGGCCTCCAGCCGCTCCTCGAGGCGGGCCGTGCGTGATCCCAGGGTGGTGATCTCGTTCCGGAGGACCGCTTTGGAGTTATCGATTTCTCCCGCCTGGTATGCCTGCACCTCTGCCAGCCGCTCCAAGATTTGTGCTGTCTCACCCTTCTTAGGTTCTCCTCGCTGCACTTCGCTTGGGGAGGATGGTTGGTATGAGGGGCTCCGTCCGGCACCATCTTGAGGATCCGCAGACCCGGTCCTGTGGGCCGACATCAGTTCTAGCACCGACGTTCCCCCTTCGGCCCCCTTTTTGGGTTGCTTTTTCGGGTGCCTCTTATCCATTCTGGGTGGTGTGTATGGTTAAGTTGTGTTAAATTGCGAAAATAAAGGCTAATGTGTGCTTTTTTAGCGCGCTGGGGCCGGAGCTCTACTCAGCCACGTCCAGCTCGGTCTCCGGTCAGGCCACGCCCCCTTTAACAATTTTTAAGGGGGGTAAGGAGGGGCAGGGGACCTAAACTGCATTTTTAACACTATATTGTTCTTTTAACTATTCTATTGACATATTTGGTGGGACCTTATAAGTTTAAAAAAGCTAAGCGGAAAAAAGGGTTACAGTGACCCTTTAATTTAAAGCAGATCTGTCACTAGTTAATTAGTTATACACAAATAAGTTAAGTTGACCACAAGTAATTGACAAACAATAAAAAAGAGACAAGAGATGAAGAAGGGCTTGCTCTAACAAGCTTACAATCTATGAAGGAGGGGTAAAGACACAAATAAAAAATCAGCATGTCAGAGAGGAGGAGGGTTTGATGGATAAGATGCCTGTGTCAAAATAGCTGGTAAAAGTGATGTGTGAAGCAAGTGAGCAGTGAAAGGACTGAGAGTAAGCTGGGCTATGGATTCGAGAAAAATGAGGAGGACAATTGTAATAGGAGAAGTAAGAATAAGATGGTAAGCTTTACTAAAAAGGTATGTTTTCACTGATTTCTTAAAGGACTTGAGGCAAAATGGGTGCACACAGGTATTGAGATCCAGTGCAAGGAAGGAAAGATAATAAATATAAATAAAATAATTTGGCAAGGAAGGGAGTATAATCATTGAGGAAATAAGGAAAGGAAAACTAAAAGAATAACATATTTTTGACAGTGTCACTTTAAGCTGTTTGTTGTCCCAGAACAAGAAACTAAAAATGAAATTACTGCTTTGTCCTTATTTTCATGTGCTGTAAAAAAACAAAACACTTTCTAATATGCACCGAGACAATAAAAAGGAAGGGATTTCTGGTGACACATGCCCTATAACAGGGGTAGGCAATCTTCGGCACTCCAGATGTTGTAGACTGCATCTCCCATCATGCTCTTCCTAACATAATGCTGGTAAAGCATCAGGGGAGATGTAGTGCACACTATCTAGAGTGCCGAAGGTTGCCTACCCCTGCCCTATAGCATCCATTTTTTTGAACCTATGAAGAGCAGATACCAAGGATCAAAATTGTTGAGTCACATATAATGAGTAACAAACTATGACAGAATTACAAAAACATTCTAAATTGCGCAAAACAATTCAATTTAATAAGCAATAAAAAAAAGATAATGTCGCTGCCAACTACAGCAGTTATTGTATGAACTATTTAAGCTGACATTTTTAAAGCACTAAAAAGACTACTGCATTTCGTATTAGGGCTTTACCAAGATTTCTATGAAACAATTTAACTACCTTTACGTAGTTAGTTTTCATACTCTGAAGGCTGTTACTCTGTGGCATTGTTTTACCTTCTCACGAAAAGTGGTTTTTAAGTTGACCAAAATGATTTTCAAATTGTAAACATTTATTTTACCCACCTAAGAATATTTTTTAACAAACTGTAGATGTATTATTGAAAAATTAACTATTATGATAGCTAAACAGATAGAAATTAGTAATATGATTATCTGCATCTAATGTTCAAATGTCTTTAAAGAAAAAATTAGAGACACTCTAAGCACTGTATCCACCCCATCCAATTTAAAGTGGTTATGGTCTTAAACGGCTCCTGGCCATATTTCCTGGTTCAGTATCAATCAGATTTTGAGTATTTTGACACAAAGGGAGGGTCTCCCATGCACCCTTGGCCCAGCCCTTTGCTAGTTATATTGCTCCTGTGAGTTAGATCTTCACATTAGTAAAACAAAATTTCACATCTACCATCATGCATGAAAGCATCTGCAATCAACCAAAGTGGCAAGGCTGAAAACATACCTGCCAATCATTGTGAATCAGAACATATTATGCAGGTCTAGTCATTAGTTTTAGACACAATAAGTCTGTTTTTCCCCCTCATGTTTAAATATTCATTACTCAAAGCCTAGATTTGTCAATCACATGTTCCGCACGCCAGTGGATAGAATATAATTTATTTGCAGACCTGTCTGCCATTTGAAAAAGTAGAATAGCAAAATCTAAATATATAAAGTGTAAAATAGACAGATGGTCCAATGCAATTCTTAGATTCTTACAAAACTACTTCTGTTTTCCATTTTCTCCATTTAGTTGTAGAAATAGCCAGATCTCCTTAACCCTTTCTCTACCGAACAGTTTTTGATTGGAAAAAAAAATATTGCCCTGGCATTTATTTGAAGCCAGGGATGTATAGCTAGCATATAAGCATACCATACGAAAGCAGTTTTGGGTATAGATTGCTTTCCAGACAAACATAAACATTTAATTATCTAAACATTTTTTGAGGGCATTTGGGGCAGTCCCTGTGGGACACGTCATCAGCCCACACTAGACAGACTGTGAGATTCCCGCACATGCCCAGTGAAACACCTGGACATGCGAATGGGAATTTCATCTATTCACTCATTCATCAGACAGACGAATGAGTGAATAGACATATCAGCCGAACAAACAAACACAATGTATCAGTGTATGTTTGTTCGTGCAGTTTATTACAGGGAGGGAGCTACCGGCGTGCAGCTCCCTCCTTGTAATATGTAAAGATAGAAGCGGCAGGGAGCAGTGCTCCCCACCACTTCATAGCCTATGGCTGCTCACTGTTGAAAAAAATGACAAATTACAATAAGGGGGGCGGACCTATTGTCCTCCCCCCCTCCCCCACCCTGAGCGGCGGGTGGGGGCCATGAAGATAATGAGGGGGGGGGAACCTACTGTCCTCCCCCCCGGCCCCCACCCCTGAGCGGTGGGTGGGGGCCCTTATAAAACAATAAGGGGGGGGGACCTACTGTCCTCCCCCCCTGGCCCCCACCCCTGAGCGGTGAGTGGGGGCCCTAATAAAACAATAAGGGGGGGGACCTACTGTCCTCCCCCCGGCCACCACCCCTGAGCGGTGGGCCTAAATAAAGATATGGGGGGGAACTTCTGGCCCCCACCCCTGGCCCCCACCCCTGCGCGGTGGGTGGGGCCCCAATAAAACAATAAGGGGGGGGACCTACTGTACTCCCCCCCCCCTGGCCCCCACCCCTGCGCGGTGGGTGGGGGCCCTAATAAAACAATAAGGGGGGGGACCTACTGTCCTCCCCCCCTGGCCCCCACCCCTGCGCGGTGGGTGGGGCCCTAATAAAACAATAAGGGGGGACCTACTGTCCTCCACCCCTGAGCGGTGGGTGGGGGCCCTAAATGAAACACCCCCCCCCCAATCAAGGTGACTAGGGGTCCCAAGCCCCTAGTCACCCCCCCCACCCAAAAAAAACTTATCCCCTACCTACCCCCCTCACCCTACAAATAGTGAGGGGGGGAATAAAATAACTAACCTGTAAAAAAAAAAATAAACTTACCATTTGATGTCTTCTTTTTTCTAAAATCTTCTTTCTTCAGCCCCCAAAAAGGCCAAATAAAAATCCATTATACCCGTCGCACTTTAAAAAAAAACAAAAAAAAAAACCGAGCGCAAAAAAAATTTAATCCAAGTTCGCCCTTCGAGGGCACGCCGCAGACTGAGCTCCGCAGGGCGGGTCAAGGCTTATAAAGCCTTGCCCCGCCCTGCAATTAGGCTTAGAACACTCTGATTGGTGGGTTTAAGCCAATCAGAGTGCTCTGAGTCATTTTACACAGCGTGGGAAAATTCAAAAGAACTTTCCCAGGGTGGGGGCGGGGGGGGGGAGGACAGTAGGTCCCCCCCCCTTATTGTTTTATTAGGGCCCCCACCCACCGCTCAGGGGTGGGGGCCGGGGGGGGAGGACAGTAGGTCCCCCCCTTTATTGTTTTACTGGGGCCCCCACCCACCGCTCAGGGGTGGGGGCCAGGGGGGGGAGGACAGTAGGTCCCCCCCCCCTTATTGTTTTATTAGGGCCCCCACCCACCGCTCAGGGGTGGGGGCCAGGGGCCAGGTTCCCCCCCATCTTTATTTAGGGCCCCCACGGGCATGGGGGGAGTGGGGGGGGTTATTAGTTTTTTGTTTGTTTTTTTACAGTGAGCAGCTATACGCTGCTCACTGCTTACTACACATGCCCCTACTCGCGGTATAGCGAGTAGGGGCATTTAAGTTACTAATACTAAGTAATCTTTACTTAGTATTAGTAAATGTGGCTGAAAGACCAATTTAGGTCTTTCAGCCTTTTAGTAGATAGCTCCCTGATACCGTGGGAATTAGGGAGTTATCTACTAAGCGGCTGCAAGATGCAGCCACAGCAATGAATAGGATCAGAGTTTCATTCATTAGAATGAAATTCTGATCCGAATAAAGTGCCGAATTGCGTTCTAAAAGAAACGAACATACTGTTGTCATTCAGTTAGAACGCAATTCGGCAGTTTAGTGTAAAGTGACAGGAAGCATTGTGGGAACACAGAGGGAAGGTAAGGATCATGGGAAAATTGCTCTGACCAGCAGAAATGAAGCACACTTTGCTCCTCCGCTGGTCAGAGCTGGTCAAGCGGAGGAATCCTCCATAAGGCAAAGAGTCCCTACTTTGTCTTATGATTTTAAAGAAAACTAAAGAAGACAGGAAGAAAAGAAGAACAGATCCTGAGAGAGGGGGAGAAGAGGAAGAGATTGAGGAAAGGTAAGTTCGGCATGACAGTGCCGCTTTAATCATTGTTACGTGAAACGTGTATCATGGAGATCTGTGTGTTCCCGTGCCAGTTCATTTGAGTATTATTTGTATCAGTTCTGCATTCTGATACATAGTATCTATCACTCCAATTTGCACTCTTTGGATCTCTCGGCTTTCAAGCTTTGATACTGCAGACAGACTATATATATATTACATTACTCTCTTTCTATACTATTTTCAGAGATCCTCTTTTGTATATTGTACATATATTCTATATACTCTATTTCACTCCAACAGGTACAAACCCGATCATTTATGCAAATTTTCTCATGCTAATTTTCTCACACTACGTCACTGTGACGTCACACAACCTCGTTTTTATTATCTCACCCTCCAATCAATTGCTTTTCTTATGTATATAATTGCCACGAGTTTACATTGTAAATTGTCTGCATAGACTGAAACGTCGACTATTTAGTTAATCACTGTACTTGCTCAATAAAGCAGCAGTTTGAATTCATCTTAACAAGACTCCAGAGTACTCTCTACTTGGAATATATTCTTTGGTTGGAGATTGTGCACTAGAGCACAAAAAGACAGGGAACATTGAGTGCTGGGACCTGGGAATATATATATATATATATATATTTCCTGGCTAATCATGGCAGCATCACTTATGGATAGCTCCTCCCTTAGCAGTCACAGAACAGGAATTAATTAGACTGATAGGTATGAAGAGTCCCTCCTCCCCTTACACCACAGTCTTTTTCCTGTCCTTAGCTGGTTCTACAGGACTTTAAACACTTTTGCTTTAGGCCACCTTTCTGCTTTTGTCGTGGGTTCGTTCCAAATTAAGTTCAGCCTCTCTTCATTTGAAAGACCCAGTAAACAGCCATGAGCAGGACTAACTAGGTCAGGTTCAGTGTCAGTACTGAACTGCTGTGTGGGATTTATGTTTTGTGTTCTGAGGGAGACACAGCTACAGAAAGGTATTTATGGGGGGGCGGGGCAG